CTAAAGGAGCTGAGGGATGTCAGTGGCATGGGTGGAGGAAGGGAGGGATTTCACAGTGAACTGCACTCACTCCTAGAGTGAAGTGGCTGGTGGGGGCATTCAAAGGCAGCCCCGTGCCTCTGCAGCCCTGGCAGGACGGGAATGCCTGGAGCAGCCATCAATCCCTGCAAAAGTCACCTGTGCCCATTTGTCAGGCACGGCTGAGAAAAGTGATCAGGAAAGCTGCCACAGGTCCAAGAACAGACTGAAACAGCTCTGAAAGCCTCATGGGCCTTTTTACTGTTCCCAGTAAAAGATACACTTCTTCAGGGGCTCTGAAGCCAGCGGACTGGGGGGTCCTGGCTACGGCTGCGGTTGCTGGGAAGAAGCTGTGATGCAATGAAACTGCTTAGTTGTTGGTCTGTCTCCAAACAAACTGTAAACTCCGTGTTATGTTTTCTTAGCATCTGGTACCAGCCTGGCCCAGGGACGGGCCTTAACAACATTTGTTAAGTGAATAAACGGAAGTCTTGTATTGGAAGATGAGAAATAGAGTTTATTCTCCTGCTCTGCAAGTTATCTGGCTCAACTCCCAGCTCAGAACTGGATACCTTATTCTAAAAGACAATTAATGGGAAAGCAATAACATTATAATAGGAACTATTCATTTATTTTAGCTATTTCTTACAACGCTAGCTCTTTTTTTTCATTTCTATCGGTGGTGCCAAGTCATTGATTCAATCAACCATTGTCACTGCATCCTCACTCTACAGAGAAAATCAAGAAAGATAATAACCGATTGTATTAATCTGGTAATACAGATTATCAGATCTGAGACAAACATTGTATTATCAGATAATACAGATCTAAGATGAACCATAGGTATATATAGTAATTGGGGTCCTAGAGGGAGACGTGTAAGGACAGTCAAGGTGACACCAGCACAGGAGAGGTGAGGCTAAGCCACCTAGTTACTAAGAAGCTCCCAGCTTTCATATTCTTCTTCATTATAGGTTACTACAAGATACTGAATACAGTTCCCAGTGCTATACAGAAGAAACTTATTTATCTATTTTATATATAGTAGTTAGTATCTGCAAATCCTGAAAATGAACATGTGTGTATATGTATGACTGAACTATTATGCTGTACACCAGAAACGGACACAGCATTGTAAACGGACTATACTTCCATGAAGAAGAATGCAAAAAAGAAGAAGTTTCTCCGGAAAAAGAAATTTATTCAGTGGACCCTTGACACTCACAGGGAATGGATCCTGAGATCAATGTAGACTTCTAATGCTAGCGCTTTACTAAATATTATCCTCATCTGAAGCCAGGATTCCTCGTGTATCGCCTCAGACTCAAACCCACTGCCTGTTCAACTCTCATACCTGACCTCTCACATGGGAGATGTGTTTCCAGAGAATTCCTGCTGCAGTGTCCCCAGGAGCTGGCGCCTTCTTTGATAGCCCTCTACATTATTCAAATACGGGCCTCAACAAAATTCCAAAACATTGACTGCAAGGCATAGATTTGGGGTTGCTCATAAGTTGCTGGAATGGCCATTCTCAACTGAGTGAACGCCAGGTTGCTGCTAGAGTCCCACCTAATTCAGTGCGAGTCAGACACGAACCACATCAGCTGGCACTGCGGGAAACCAGAACATACACACCTCCTGCTGTCAGGATTTGCAGCCGGTAGGAAAGATAGAGCCACTTCCAGGGATGGCTGTGAATTATGAGCCATCATAATGGCTCCATAATTCTCCAGGCCCAGCTCACCCTAAAACACCAATCACTCCCAACACTCAGTGGTTTTCCAGAGGAGTTTGTATTAACTGAGTAAGAACATGTGCCTTTCCCCACCCAGATCCCTGCCGCCACTCCCACCACCTCGAGCATTGTGGCGGGGGCAAGCAACTTCAAAATCCCTGCATAGCCATATCCAATGAAATCAACATCATGGTGAAGTTATTTCTAAGTGCCTGGAAAGCACTCCTTACACACACGGAAACTGAGTGCTGTAATGGTTAATCTCTATGAGTAATTCAGGGCGGCCATGTAGTCAGACAGGCAGTCAGGCAAATTCATAACTGAGGCTTTTCATAAATCTTAGAGGAGTCCCAAGACCTGAACACCAACCTCTTACAAGTTACATTTAAGCACAGGTTCTAATGTCCATCTTACAAGTTTGGGTTTATGAGTAATAATAGTAATAGCTAATATTTATTTAGCACAAATTACGTTTGCACTGGCCTGCACTTACGTGCAAACCCTAACACAGGCGCACTGTCGCTAAGAGCTCCCTTTCCCTCCACAAGGAAGTGGAGGGCCAACGGGAAGACCTGACTTGTTGACAGATTACTCAACACATCGGTGTAGGAGTCTGAATAAAGGCTGGGTCTTCTGGCTCCTGACCGATCGTGAAATCTTGACCTTGCCCTGGTAACACTTCAGTGAGGACAAACACAACAAGGAGTGGAATTTGCAAATGAGTGCATGTGACCTTTCGTACAAATAGGTGGTGGATCATGAGGAAAAAAAAAGAAGTTTCCTACCAGTAAAAATAATGGGTGGAAGAGAGTTTGGCAGTTTTTTCCAAAACTAAATATATTCTCACCATATGGTACAGTAATTTCACTCCTTGCTATTTCCTCAGATGAGTTGAAAACTTACATCCACGCCAAACCCCACACATGAATGTTTATAGTAGTTTTAGTCATAATTGCAGAAAAACTTGGAAGCAACCAAGATGTCCCTCAGCAGGTGAGTGGATAAATAAACGGTGGCACATCACACAATGGAATATTATTCAGCAATAAAAAGAAATGAGCTATAAAATCACAAAACACGGAGGAAATTTAAAAGCATGTTACTAAGTGAAAGGTGTCAGTCAGAAAAGACAGCATACTGTACAATCCAACTAATGACATTCTGGAAAAGGTAAAACTAAAGAGGCAGTAAAAAGATCAGTGGTTGTCAGCTGTTTGGGAGGAGGGATAGGTGCGTAGACAGAGTACAGAGGGTTTTTAGGCAATGAAACTATTCTGTATGGTTTTACAAGTGTAGATACCCGTCATTAGACTTCCTTCAAATCCATAGACTGCACAACACTAAGAGTGGACCATAAATTAACCTGCGGACTCGGGGTAGTAATGAGGAGGATGCTGGGGAGGGGTATGTGAGAATTCTCTGTACTTTCTACTTAATTTTGCTGTGAACCCACTCTGCAAAATAAAGTCTATTAATTAAAGAAAAAGTAATGGGTAAGCATTTAGGGGTGGTGAGAAAAGTAACAACTGAGCATCAGAGAAAAAAATATATGTCCTTGGCCAAGGGCTTGCCCTAGATGGGGAGAGTGTATGGATGCACATGCAAATTAACGGAGCACCTCCTACATGCCTGTCACATTTACATCCCCAGCAACTTCACAAAACTCTCACGCTGTCATTTTGGCTCAGAGGAAAATCAGTGATTTCTTGTTGAAGGTCATAAGACTTGAAAGAAGCAAAGTGCAGGTGTGAATGCTGCTCTGCTAACTCTAGGTCCAGTTCCCCCCTCTCTAAGCACTTGCTGGAAAGGTTAAAGGTATGATAATGGAAAGGGCGGCTTTTCTAAACACATCAGACTTCAGAATCAGCTTTGTACATCTGCATACAGGGCGGGTCCACTGATGGACTGAGTTTGAGGATGGAGGGAAAACACAGAACCACATCAACAGCATCACATTTAATTCCTTCACCATTAAAAAAAAAAATAAGAGGCGGCAGGAGAGGTGCTAGGGAAAGAATACTAAATAGAAAATTACTACCACCATCCAGAGTAATAGCCTTTCTGGAATTTCCCATACCCAGGATGAAAGGAGATTCATCACGGACAGAGTCAGGCTCTCCCGGGAGTCACCCGGGGAGTCACCCCTCTCTGCAGGAAGGAAGGAAACTTTGCAGCTGTGCAGCGGAGCCAGGGAAGATGCCTCACAGCCTGGTGACAGTGCAGGGTCATGACTCAGGCCTGGAAAATCTGGCTCCACTTGGAAGCAGCCCCCATGGCCCCGGGTGTACTGATGGGAGGACTGAAGAGGTGAGACGGTGCAAAAATGCAGAGTGGCAGTCGCAGCGGTGGGAGGACTAGGACTAGAAAGCCTTGTGCTGCTCAGGACTGGGGCTTAATCACAGCACCTCCGATCTACCGCAACCAATGTGGGGGCCCACCTCAGCAGCACCAACTCCTTTCACAGTCCCCCTCACTGCCTTCATTTAGCCCTTGTAACTCGTTATCTCAGGTGCCAGAGGTCACCCTGTGTCAGTCCACCTTCTGCAGTTTTCTCCATCTGCAGGACCAAGCTTCCCTGGCCAACAGCCAAGTCTCAGGTCTCCAACAATATGAAAGAACCCACTGTCCATCAGAAGCCCTAACAGGAGGCAGGCAGAGCCTCCCCCACCGACCCCCTACAATAGGCATTTCCAGAGACATCAGAACCTCATGCCACAGTTCTGGTTATGTCATTAGGAGAAAGACGTCCTTCCCCGACCCTCCTGGCAGGCCCTGGATGAGGAACAACACAGAGACATTGTTACAATATGAGCTCTGTTCCCCAGGCCCCTAAAGACCCAGGCAGGCCACCCCAAGTCCGCTTTCTTCTCTAGAGTGCATCCCAGGGACTCGGCCACCGTCCTCGCCTCTCCATGGCAAATTCATCTTATTCCTCTATCTCCAAGACTGGCTGTAAAGGAAGATAAAATCTCCCTACCCTCTAATTCCTTGCTGCTCCAAGAATACAAAGTCTTCATTTCTTACTGCTACAGGAAAACAAAAGACGGCAACACACACACACACACACACACACACACACACACACACACACACACACAGAGTTTCAGTACCTTACAAAGCTCTTGTCTTAATGTCATTAGTCTAACCTTTCCCAGAGGGTGGTTATAGATTCCTTCTGGACTTGCCCCTCTTTTTCTATCCTCTTAAAGATGCTCACCTGAAATCTCCCTTGACTCTGATTCAGATTTCAGCAAAGATCATGCAGAATCCACATTCCCAGGTCACTGCCAAAATCGATCCAGCGCGGCGTGGCGAAATTGATGGCTTCCGCACAGTTGAAGCCGTGGTTGAAGCCAGAGTGGTAGCCGTAGGGGAACGTCACCATGAACTCGCCAGCCTCCTGGGTGACCCGGCCGAACGGGATGCCGTTGTCCTTGAGGACCGTGGGCGAGATCAGAGCCACCTTGTGCCGCAGGAAGGCCCCGCAGCCCCGCGAGCTGCCCGGGAACAGCTCCTTGGCCAGGCGTTCCAGGCGCCGGCCGTGCTCCGGGGGCACCGCGTACCAGGTCTTGGGCTCCCCGAAGTGCAGGAAGTTGATGCTGTACAGGTCCATGTCCTCCGTGTGCCAGGCGAAGGCGGTCTTCCACATGCCGAAGTACAGGTAGGGGCTGTTGACGCCTTCGATGACCACTCCGCACTCCTGCTCCAGCAGGTCCTGAATGGTTCCCAGGTTTCAGAACTTTTACCATTGAAGGAGCCATTGACTTTTAACCCAGTAATTTGATCGTAGGTATAAGCAATTCTCCGAGTATTTTCCCTCCAAATCTTCAAAACCCACCTATGCCTGAGTCTCATGCTTTTAGTCCCCCCACGTCTCCCGCCCCCCACCCCACTGGAGATGCTCCCTCACTGCTGGGGATTTTCTTTTCCTGTAAACACGCCTGCCTCCCCCTCGCCCCCTGCTGGACCAAGTGGCTATGACAATGCTATCAGACATCCTGGTTTTCTGCTTCTTAGACAGACCTGTTCAGTCTTTGGATTCCATGTGAGCAATATAATTGTGAAATGATTTTTTTTCCCACGACTGGACAAAGTGTTATTATTGTAAAACTTAGATTCCAGATGGCATGTTCCTTAGATGCTATGGTTTTAAATCAATAAGCATTGAACTCCCAAATCCCAGGGGATGTTCTGGATGTAGCATTAGTTGCTGGAGAGCCACGTGAATCCTTATCACACAAAACATAAGTATTAACACTACAACCTCAACCTCGCATGCATGTCACTCACCATCAACAATTCTACCCTCAACTGATAACTAGAGTTATCAAAATATCTCCCGGCTTTTCGGTTCATTCAGGATCTGAATTCTAGATTCAGCAGTTTCTTGTACAAAGGAAATGGGATTTCAGCCAAAAAAAATTAGTGAAGATTTATGTGATGGATATGACTGAAAGAATTATTTTATTCAATCAGACCTGATATAATTCCATTGCAGGCAGACCAGTTACAGATTCCAAAATGTTCTTTTCCACTCCTTCGTTATCGTCTAAACAAAGGTCTGTCTTGCACTACGGTAAAAGGGAGTTCTGAACATCCAGTTCCCATGTGTGTTCCAGTTCCCCCACAGCACCACCAATGATGCTTGGGATACTAGCCAAGCATCACAATTCAGCCCGATTCTGACATCACCTATCTGGAGATAGCATCTGATCTCCCAGGTTGAGGAGTAGGTCCCACAAGACTGCCCTTCCCCCCACACTTTCAGATGCCGGTCACAAGCTCCAGGTTGTCACCTGTACTGACCAGCTGCCTATAAGTCAGAGGTTCCCACAACCCCCTCTTTGGGTTTGATTAATTTGCTAGAAGGACTCACAGAACTCAGAAAACATTTTACTTACTGGATCACTGGTTTGTATCCTTTTGTAATAACTCAGGAACAGCCAGGGGGAAATGATGCACAGGGCAAAGTATGGGGAAAGGGCACCGGGCTTCCAGACCTCTCTAGGCATGACACTGTCCCCAAATCTCTATATATTCACCAACCCAGAAGCTCCCTCGACTTCATCCTTTTGGGGAGTTTTATGGAGGATTCATTACAAAGCACGATTGATTAAACCATTGGCCATTAGTGGCTGGTTCAACCTCCAGCCTCTCTCCCCTCCTTGCAGGTCTGGGGTGGGGCTCAAAATTCCAACCCTCTAACCAAAGGATCTGTTCCCCTGGCAACCAGCCCCCATCCTTTTGTGACCTAGGGGCTTTCCATTACCTGCGCCATTAACATAACAAAAGACACCTTTGCCACTCCCTTCACTTAGAAAATTCCAAGGCTTTTAGGAGCTAGGGACCAGGAACAGGGATGAAGACTAAATATGTATTCATATTATACATCACAAGATCACATAAGGTGACTTAAATTCTCCTATTTTTAATGTGTTCCTTTCAACTTGTTTTGTTTTCTGTAACTAACACTTTTCAAGGTTGCATGGGTCCTCATGATTGCTTTATTTTCATGGTGAAATTTAGCCTTTAGACCCTTTCATTTACTTTTGAGCCTCAATCTAGTTTGTGTGACATTAAAGATTCATGACTCCTGGTTTCTGTTTATATTTTTCTTGGTATAGCTCTGCTTGTTCTTTCACTTTTAACTTTTCTGAATCCCTTTATTTATTTATTTTTTTTTAATTTTTTTTTTTGAACTGAAGCACAGTCAGTTACGATGTGTCAGTTTCTGGTGCACAGCACAACGCCCCACTCATGCCTATGCATACATGTATTCATTTTCATGTTCTTTTTCTTGAATCCCTTTGTTTTAGATAGTTAAAAAGAGAAACTGAGGTATATTAAAAGTTTTAAGAGTTTATTTGTGCAAAATGTAATTCAAACTTGGCATCATCCGGTCTAGCAGAAAGGAGCACCACAGAGCGGTACCGAATAAAAGACGTAGGCAGAAGGGCGTGGGAATGAGGACACTATACCAGGCAAAAGAGCAGGTGGGTGCTTGCCAGGGGACTTTCTTTTAGGGATTCTTCTGATTTTCAAAACTAAAAAAAAAAAAAAAAAGAAAGAAAGGAAGAAAGAAAGATGCAGCTACACATCGGGATAACAACTTTAATAAACATCAGTAAAGCTACAAATGTCCATGAGACAGAACTAGTGAGCAGATCCAAATGGGCAAAGGTCTAGCTCGTTTTGGCATGTGCGGTGGCCCGGGAGATAGGGTGTGTCAGAATCCCAGCAGGGTGAGAAGCTCCTGAGGCTCCCTGTGGCTGCAGCACTGTCCACTGGAAGCCAGGATCAGTGATGGAGAGGCCCAGGTGAGACTTGGGGATGGAGGGGGCCTAGCCAGATTCTCAGTATCATCCAGTGTTGCCCCAAATTACTGTGAGGATTAGAGGCACATTCCTGCAGGGAGGTACCCTGAGGGTGCCATCAGAAACAAGCAGTGTGCGTGGCATCTAGGCCAAGGCAGAGGCTAAAGGCCCATCAGTGTTCAGGAGTCGGGTGAGAATCCCTGAGAGGTACAACATTTCATGGCAGCTGTCCCGATGGGAAGGTCCACTTCGGAGACTGCTGGGAGCCCTGGTTGTCATAGTAGGAGAAAGCATCTGGCAGCTTGGGAAATGTGTCATTTCTTGGACATAAAGCATCTCCACTGGGGACAAGCCCAGCCCACATTATTACTTGGCTGAGAGCTTCTGTGGTTTCTGGGGTTGAGACTCAGATAAAGACATATTTGGCAAATTCTTCAGTCGTCATGGGCTCATAGATTGAAGAGCATCCATTGGTGGAGAACCCATTCCAGGACTCAAGAGATGCAGCTACCTCTAGTTTTAGCTCCGGGGAATCACAGCCAGGGATGTGGGAGATTCTGGTCTTGGCATCTGGGACCTGGTTTCTACAGGCATAAGAGTGGTCCAACCTTATAACCTCACAGAGGTTCACAGGAGCCCTGCAGTCCTCAGCTGGGTCTCTGGGAAACATTCTCCCAGTCGCAGTGACTTTGGGAGGAATCAGAGGGATGCTGTCAAGGAAACTGGCTGTAATACTGTCCAAGGATGTGAGGCACGGGCCAGGGTGCATAGGATTTTCTGGATCCAATGGGGGTCCCAAAGGTTGAAGATCAGGGGCACAGCAGCACCCAGAAGCTTTGGCAAGATGCTGGTGACTAGAGTTCTGCGGTGAAGTCTTGCGTATCAAGGGCGCACTGGCAAGGAGGCACTGAGCCTCGAGGTCCAAAAGGCGCCTCTTAGCCCGGGCTCCGACAGTCGGCTCACGAATCCCCTGTTTCCGTGGACGCCGAGTAGGACCACATCTGCCTGTTGGTTGGAGATCAGGCATGGATGGACCTGGGGTAGGCAGCAGGGACAGGCCAGGCTCCGTGGAGTTGCTGGTGGATGGAGGCCTGAGGTGGGCGACAGAAGAACCCCAGGCCAGCGAGGGGCTCGGAGACTCCGGACACACAGGGGCACTCCGGCAGGTCCCATCACCGAGGGCCACAAATCTCGGTGGGGCGCGGGGGCGCTGGCGCTGCTTCAGCCCCATCGCAGCCTCCCCGGGCAGCCGGACGTCCCTCCAGGCGCTCAGCCCCTGGCCGCCAGGCGCCGTGGGCCCCGTGTGGTCCACCAATGCCCGGTCCTGCCCGCGTTTCCACAGCTCATAGCTCTCGGGCTGCAGGATGTGCACGAACGCGTCCATGGAGAAGGACACCCGCGCCTCCCCGCAGCTGCACTGCGAGGCCACTTTGCCATAGTCGATCCAGCGCGGGGTGGCGAAATTGATGGCTTCCGCACAGTTGAAGCCATGGTTGAAGCCAGAGTGGTAGCCGTAGGGGAACGTCACCACGAA